CAAAGTTGTTCACGAAGTGTCGACGGTAGTGATATCTTGCAGTATTTAAGTTGAGTTCTCATTTCCATTCCAACAAGTAAACAAGAAAACTCTTTTAGGATTGATGTCTCCCACGAGAGGTATCAGGAAGCAGCTTGGCCAAACCTTTCAGACCGGCAAACTGGATTGAATGTCACTGGTAAGTCAAGTATGCTTCACATCTGTGGGATATGAACAAAGAGCACACGAACAACCATTTCCACCAATCGCTAACCAAGCAGAAAGCATCAATGTTATGTGTTGCATATTAGGATGAAACTCACTAAGCCTGTCAAAAGAGCATGTCCAAGTCATATTCCGCCCCCCCCCAAAAAAATTCAGACTAATATTTCTTATTCATTATTTTCATGACTGCTATGTTAATTTCCATCACAACTGTCATTACAATAATGCAAAATAAATAAACTAATATTTATTATTATTATTATCATCATATTATGCATTATTAAAATAAAGAGTCGGAGCGAGGGAGGGAAAACAGGAGAGCGGCCTAGCGAGACTACCTTTTCCTCTTCCCTCCCTTTCCTGTGTTTGCCCCTGCATACACACCGACCCAAAATTATACCAGATGTCACTTCAAGAGTGGAAGCCGCCCTCAGTCTGCAATGAAGAATTCGAGAAATTCTGGAAAATATTTATAGAGGGGGACCAGACCTTCTCAGCTTCAGAGGTGGAGGTTAATGTAGTCAGACCTAAATGAGAGAGACTCCCAAAGGGTTCTCTGGCACTCCATAACTCTAGCATCGCCCTCCTGGAATGTCACGGATAAAGGAGAAGTTAAAAGCAGCTAAAAACGACCAGAAATCACGAGACCAAAACCTTTTCCTTCGCTTTGATCTCCTCACAAGGTTACATGATTAATTCTGAACGACTGAGGGCCAAAGTCGTTCACGCAGTGTTGACGGTGGTGATATCTTGCAGTATTTAAGTTGACTTCTCATTTCCATTCCAACAAGTAAACAAGAAAACACTTTTAGAATTGATGCTTCCCACGAGAGATACCAGGAAGCAGCTTGGTTACACCTTTCAGACCGGCAAACTGGATTGAATGTCACTGCTAAGTCAAGTATGCTTCACATCTGTGGAGTATGAACAACCAGCGCACGAACAGGCATTTCCACCAATCGCTAACCAAGCAGAAAGCATCAATGTTATGTGCTGCATATTAGGATGAATCTCGCTAAGACTGTCAAAAGAGCATGTCCAAGTCATATTTCAAATTCCAAAATCAAAAGAATTTTTTTTCATTATTTTCATGACAACTATGCTAATTTCCATCCCAAATGTCATTACGAAAATGCAAAATAAATAAGCTAAGATTTATTATTATTATTATTATAAAATATGAATAATTTAAAAATATAAAAAATAGGAATATTTTAAAAATAAAGGTTTATAATTTAATATATTATGTTACATATTATACTGTAATATACCAATATATAAATAAATGTATTATATAATGTATTATAAAAGTGTAATAAGTATAGATTTTAATAGTTTTTTGTTACAATTGAATATACTAGGTGTTATATATTAAATTGTAATATTACTATAATATATATTATTTATTATTGTAATAAATACTTTTTTTAATTATATTAAAAAATGTACATAAAATAACAAATTTAATTAATTAAAAATAAATAAAAAATATGAAAAATGTGTTATATATGTATGCATGTATATATATATAAATTTTTTTTTTGTCTAATTTGGGGGGTGAAAGAAAACCTGAATATGTTCTTCATATGATTCACTCATTAAGAGAAAGTTAACTTCAATCACAACCATTTATACAAGCAAACCACTGACATCTGGAACAGTAAAGTCAGTGCGGATGAGAGGAAGAGTCTGGGTGGCTGTTTGTGTCTGTATGTAAACTATTTTAGCTATCAGTGGCAGGAATGTGTGCAACCCACCACCCCAGACACCCTCGGGGGGAGTGACACACAGAGACACGCCTCCTTTATGTTACTATAACTACTGTATGCTAATGAGCTGAGCTGCAGCCTCTCAGCTTCATCTCAACAGGAGGTAACGCTAATCATACTACAATCCATCTGGCTGCTTTCTTAGTCTTCATTAACATTCATAATGCATCAGACGCACTACATATACAATGCCCACAGTGATAAACTACTAATGAGCAGGAACAAAAGCATCGCCCGTCTCAGTGTGAATGTACTGCATGTGGAAACACCAATGATTGAAGCGGATTTAACTGTAATAAAAGAGACAAGTGAGAGCAGAAGAGGTTATCAGCTCCGTATCTGATGAGGGAGACGGTGAGAGTGTGAGAGAGAAATCCAAGGAGAGGGAAAGACGGTGATAACGCACTAATCTACAGATCTCCACAACAGATGGAACTTCAAGTGTCTGATCACTGGATGGGCCGCAGCTTCAGCGCTAACAAAGCCTATTCATGGAGAGACATTCTTCAGCCATCCTTTTCAAATCCCCCTCCAAATGAGTCTCCTCTCTTTCGCATAACCCGCCCCTCCCAAGACCACCAAAAATGGGCCAAGCCCATCTTAAACATGACAAAGAACAAGTTTGTTTATGCTTTCCTTTTAAAGCACATAACTTGAGTTTTCCTACACTCTTAAAATTAAAGGTTCCAAAAAAGGGCTTTGCAGATAGAAGAACCATTTTTGGTTCCCCAAAGAACCTTTCAGTGAACAGTTCTTAAAGGAACCATTTTTTCTAAGTGTGTAGAACATTTTAATATTCTAAAGAACCTTTTGTCAAATGGAAAGGCTCCATGGATGTTAAAGGTTCTTCATGGGACCATCAATGCCAATTTAAAAAGAGGTTCCATTTCTTGGTTCTGTTCCATTTTCATGGAAGAACCATTTTTGGTTCCCCAAAGAACCTTTCAGGGAACAGTTCTTCAAAGAACCATTTTTTGAACATTTCGATAATCTAAAGAACCCTTTTCCCATCATAAAGAACCAGTGTGCAATTGAAAGTTTCAATGTGGTTCTTCATGGAACCATTGATGCATTTATTAGAAGCTTTATTTGTAAAAGTGTAGTGAACTTGTTACATATGGACATCATGCGTCTATATAAACCACATGAGAACATGTCTTAAATTGGTTGCATTTGACCATAAAAAAATGCACCGGAAGAGCTGGGTGTTTGTTTCCATTTACGATACGGCGGAAACACCCTTGGATCAGCGATGTTCCTCCTCTCCCACCTCCACCTGCTCTAACGTGTCATCTCTTTTGAAAGCGTGACAACCGTTTTGGATGCTGCAGAAGGTTCACAGGCATTTTAAAACCGTGGACTCTAATTTCTTACAAAAGCCTTGCCCTGCTTCTCTAAAGCGACATGTTTAAGCCATTCTACTCCGCATTCCTGGGAACAAAAGCAGCGGGATTCATTCTGCCCTTAAAAGCGAAGAGAAAGTTGATATGATGCCGTGGCTGCAGTTAAATGAGGCATATGCCAGCTGGCGGGGGGCTGGAGGGTCTCTTCTAGAAGAATGTGTAAAGACGAGGGCTGAAGTTTGTTAATCCTTTCATTCTGAAGGAGGAGGGTTCGAACTGACAGGCTTTGAGGAAAGATGAGAACCCGGCGCTGTGACCGTTTCCAGGCATCTGAACCAAATGATACAAATCAGATTCACCTAGAGACTAAATTTTGACTTGCTGTAGATGGATTTCAGGTACAGTCTTTCTGGAGTTATCACGTCTTGCTCAAGGGCACAATTGTGTTCGTCCATTGTTGGTCTGAACCTACAACCTTTAGGTTAACAAGTGCACTTCTTTAACTACTAGGCAACACTTTCATCAATGTCACGCTGAGCTGGTGAAAGCAGTGAACGACAGCACGGCAAAAACTCACGGGCATTCCTTTTAAAGAAAAAAAGAAAGAAAATGCACGCACCTGAGAGGAATTTACAGATATCACTGTGTATCCTCTGTAGACAAGTATGTCATGGACAATTGACTGCACTTAACTTCAAATCTAAATAAACTCTTTCATAACAAACTCTACAGATCAGACTAATCAATTACATATGGTCATGATGGTGTGCCTCAAAATCTGTTGCGTCGCAACTATAAAAAGCTGTGAACAAAGTCATGTTTACAAAACTTGTTTTGACTACAGATGGTTCTGTTACATGTAAGTGATCGGTTAACCATAATAAGCATGTTCATATGCCACTTCAAAAGATGCCAATAGGGCACAAAGGGGCCACAATAACTCCCTCCTTCTTCTGATGAGTGAGAAGGCTTTCTTTAAAACAATCCAAATTATGTTTCTTACACATTTTATGGAGGGGGAAAAAAACCCAAAACAAAACAAGTGGTTTACATCAACAACAGTGCTGCTAACTTTGCCCATCCTACTGGCTGCGATAAGAGCACTTAACGGTTATTCCTCTGTTCACTAAGACAACAATGCAGTGACTTTTTTTGCATTGTCATCTCAATAAATAGCAGTTTATTTACTTCAGCTTTCATGCTTTCCTATAGATTAACAGTTAAAATAGTTTAACTTTAGTTGGGAACATTTATTCCACCTGGTTCATTATGTCGCACAAAACATGTACTATTTTTCCTGTTTACTTTTTTCTCTGCAGTTTGACATTTTCCTCTCCCCTGCATTCTGTATTGCTGTGCAAAAACAGACTAATAAATAAATAATATATATACGCCTATAATATATATCATAATTACACGTAAGAATAATAACAACAATTATAATAAAAGTAATTTATTTGTAATGTTATTTTATAAGTATGTATATTGAGATATTTTTTTAAAATAATGCATAACATAAACAACAATATAAATAACACTATAAAAATTAAATCACTTTCACATTAGAGAGTGATGAATTGCAAACTACTATATGTAAATCTGCGTATGATGCATTGATTTTAGACATAATGCATGTTTTTGTTATTTTTTCACTGTTACACAATTTTGTGTGTTGGACACTCACCCAGAACAAGGCAGAAGATGTCCAGTGCTATTAAGAGTTTCCTCTTGCTGTTGTCTACGCCGTTGTTATTTAACGTGGATGTTCCTCCGTTTCTTGTTTCGGGTGCCATCGCCTTCTCATACATATAGTTTTGCATTTGAGAGAGTTCCTCCTGATGTCTTTCTCCTAAAATCCCAGAGATTCACTGCAGCGGTTCGTTTTAGTTGGTCTTGTCCGTGCAATCAAGTCCATTCAACTTTGTCCAGTGAAGCCGCAGTTGTTCCGGAGCAGTAAGTTAACGTTACCTCTCTGAATGATGAGTCGCGTTGGGTCGGTTAGTTTTGATCTAGTTCTACGCTACTTGAAGGTTTGAACTGAGAGCGGCGTTTTAAAACTAGGAGATGAACTCCAGTTTATGAATCCTCCTCTGGTCTCCACCTCCTTCCCTTCAGTAAGCGCTCAGCCCCCTTCTCCTGCTGTCCTGAGCCACGCTGAATGAATGAAGCCCTCTGCCTCTGCCCTCCAGGACACAGCGAGCTGCACTGCCCCCAGCGGCCGCTGCTCGTAACCACACCGTTCTCTCGTTTAACTACATGGAAGACACGTAAAGAGGGTTAAAGGGAGCAGAAAGGATGTGGGTTTTGACTTCCTTCGGTCATTTCATCCCTTGATCCATGTTTTATTCATTAATAGTATAAATAATTAAAAAATATCACATATAGTAATGAATGAAATATAGTATGACTAAAATATATTCACAATATAGTAATGAATAAAAATATTCATAAAATGCATTTCCTTCCAAATTTTAAATACTGTGATTTTTAAAATGTTTTGCTAATAATAATAATAATAAATAATTTCTTGAAACTTTGTATAAATGTGCTTTGTGGCAAGTTTTCAGATTGTCCATTTCACATTACTACAGTGTTGTCCTAAATTGATGGGATTTTAGTTTATTAAACCATTTGCCTGTTATTATTTATTCATTTAGTGAGTGACCGAAAACACATTAAATTTAAAGGATGTGAAAATCTAAAGGACAGGGAAATGTTGCAAAAGAAGTGGTCTTTAAAATGGAAGCATGGTAGAAGTTCATCTTTTTGCAGGACAATGATCCCACCCATAAAGATTAAATTAACATTTGACTAGCAACAGAACAATGAGGAAAATGGCCTACAATGGCTGTGTCAAAGACCCCAATCCAATAGAGGATCTAGGCACTATATAAGATAATTGTGGTGTTCAAGAATCAATTGACTAATCTGCAGGAAACCTAAACTAAATAAATAAATAAATCCTCCACCTCAACACTGATGAAGCACTTCCATCTAGTGGTGAAAAGCATGTAATACACTTGAAGAATACTAGCCCAGTGGTTCCCAGACTCCAAGACCTGAAATAAGTGTGTCAGACAAGGAGACATGCAAAATGTGCAGTGTTCTGTAATATATATCTAAAATAAACTGTTTCAGTGGTGTACAGCCCATATAGCCTTTACACATAAGTCAACCTCTGACAATCCATCACTGTGCAAGTTACAAAATGTACAACAATGTGTCAATGTATATGACTTAAAATATATGTTGGAGGGCACTGCTTTACTGGGACAAATAGACTAAACTAAACAAACTAATGTTTATATAATTTATAAGAATAATTTTATCTGTTCAACACATTTAGATTCAACATGTTCACTTACTAATAACCAGGGGTGTGGACTCGGGAGTCACTTGACTCGAGACTTGACTCGGACTCGAGTCCCAAATTTGATGACTTGCGACTCGACTCGACATAATTAAAGAAGACTTGAGACTCGACTTAGACTTTGACAGCAAGGACTCGAAACTTGACTTGGACTTGAGCCCTGTGACTCGGAAAGACTTTATGATCAGATCAAAGTCGGTATAGACGCGTCCCTGCAGCGTGCTTGCGCTTGACTGGCAATAAAATAGAGACTGCGTTTAGGGAGCGCTGGATAGGCTAGTATGAATTACTGGAGTAATAGCATAACTTACGACAAAAGAACAGAGATAAAAAAAATAATAATAATACAAATTACAAATGACATGATTCGTCTAGTAGCGATCTCCGCTCGTGAAAAGCGCTGCCCTGTCCGTTTGATCGCCGCCCAGCAGACACACGGAGCGGGCATGAGAAACTTCACTGGTGCTCGCCTCATCATCACTGTGACCGCTGCTGTTAAATATTCCTCACTTCTTCTGTTTGTCCGACACCGAGGTGCACCATGAGTGACGGATCCGCCTCCCACCACGACTCTCGCACTCTGCCAACTCCATGTGCTTTCATTATTTTTATTTTTTTTGTAATGAACACCTCTCTGAGACCTGTTTTTGTCAGATCTCCACTGTTTTTGTTCGATCAGTTACATATTTTAATTGCATGTGCATTTTTGTTCATTTAAACCTCCATTAACCCTTAAATGCACGAATGTTTCGCCAATCATTATTACATATTCGTGTCTTACGGCGGTAAAGTTAGTTTGACGTTTGACGTTAAATGTAAACCTGCTTATTTTTAAAGGTTTGAAGTTTGGTGCAACAGTATTATTGGATAAACTTTGATTTGATCTAGATTTAAAATTAATCACGCTGTTATTTCTATGAAATTATGTTGTCTTTGCTATTCTGTTACTATTAAAAAAAAGTTTTTTTCACTGCTTATCCTATTTTGGCACAATCCCTAAATTGAACTTGAGTAGTTTTACTAAGAGCACCCATCTCACATGAAATTGAACTAAAATATTCAAATATTCTACCTGCCTTCCTGATATAAATTACTATGAATTTGATATGGTAATTAATACTGAGACACTAATTTGGGCAAAAAGCACTAATGACTTGTTTAAGACTTGAATCTTAAAGCTGAGGACTTGCAACTCGACTTGGACTTGCCTGTCTTGACTCGGGACTTGACTTGGGACTTGTCTGTCTTGACTCGGGACTTGACTCGAGACTTGAATGCAAAGACTCGAGACTTACTTGTGACTTGCAAAACAATGACTTGGTCCCACCTCTGCTAATAACTATTAACTAATAAAATACTGTTAGAATTAATACTATTAGTATTACTTACATGAACTCAGAAAGAAGACTGACTTTGATTTGGCCTGTTATTATAAAGGTTTTTGTAAATATATGACAGAAAAAAAATCTGTTGATAAAAAATTGCACACAGCTGTAATATTGTATGAAAAAAAAATATTTAAAATTAACACTTCCTTGTCACGACAGTAGTCATGTTTCTTTAAATGACACATACATATTTTTTCTAGCTTTATTATATTATTTTACTCTATGAAGTAATGTGTTATTATAAATAGTCTTAAATGTCCAGTAAATGTCATGTAATGTCATAATGTTTATCAAATAAAGTCAAAAATCAAATGAAATGGTATGTTGTAGTTATGTTATTATAAAATGGTTATTACAGTTAGGGTTATTATTGTTCACCTTCGCTAGCCCTAGGATTATTCTTGTGTCTTGCCCACCATATACCTGTTTGCCTTTGTTCGACCCTGCCTGTGTTTCTGACCTCTCTGCTTTAATAAAGCTTGCACATGGATCCGCATGTCTCACGTCTCGTCAGCCCCGTAACAATTATAGTTAACTAAAACTAAAATGAATGAATGGATGAATATTTATTACAGCTAGTTGCCAAAGCAACATTCCTCATTTTCATTTCATTTAACTTGATGAACTAACATAACTAAAACTGAAATAAAACGAATAAAAACTATATAGGCACAAAACAAAAAATAAACATGACAAAACGCACAACAAAAACACTAGGCTAAAATTAGAAAGAAAATATAAAAATCAAAAGCAATTCGAAATATGAATAAAAACTATAATAGTATCTAAAAAACTAACAATAATACTATACTAAACAATCACCACTAATAAAGTGGAAATGTTGCTATATTTAATTGTAGGTAAAGCTGATATGTGAGGTAACCAGTGAGGGGAAGGGACTAGGCTACTTGTTTACCTAAACCGCCCCCTTTCCCACCAGTTAACGCCTTATCAGCTGATCCGAGAGCTGTCTGTTTGTGTAGAGATTTCATAGTTCCCCTGAAGCTGAATTCAGATCAGCACTTAGAGGGGGTTAGTAAAACTCAATCCCGCCTCCTGTAAGGCAGCCCGAGGATATAGTAAAATGGCTGAAAAGCAGAAACACGAAGGCAGGGTAAAGATAGGACACTACATCCTCGGAGACACGCTGGGAGTCGGGACATTTGGAAAAGTGAAGAGTTACGTCTATTCATTTACTATACGTGTTTGAATGTTGCATGGGATGGAAGTGCGAACGTATGTTTTCGGGGTGGTAGTGCTGAACTTGCCGGCTGACGTTCTGCGCAATTTACGTAGCATAGATTGCGTAGGACGAGCCTCCGCTAACGTCCTCCAGGCGCATAGAGTGCGTATGCTGTTAGTGAATACAACGCAGAGCTGGAAATTCTTTCAGCACCACAGTAGACGATACACTTGTTTGTGTAATTGTTTAGTATCACACCATTTGGGAAACTAGCTGGCATTTCGGGAATATATAGGTCTCAAGTACTTACGCTGCCTCAATATTTGGTATTTTACAAATTTTAATGCATTGTCATCCTCCTTGAAGTGCGATCAGTCATTGGGCTGCGCGCTTTAACATGTTATTTGCATAAATTTCTAGCACCCAAATTGTTGAATCTTTAAAACGTTTGTCTCAAACGTATATTCTTCTGATTATTGTAAAAGCAGCACCGGAACAAATGCTATATTTAGTATATTTTACCTGCAGCGCTTTGACCTTGCAGTCATTTTCTATTCCAAGCGCGACTGGGAATGCCGCTCATTTTGGCAATGACCTTTCGCACGGGTATAACCCGGTGTTTGAGCTTTGCTGCGCATTTTTAACGTACAACTTTATTATATAAAACGTTATGTGTCGCATTAAAAGATATGCTCTCGTTAATAATGCCTTAGTCTGTGCACATAAAACTTACGAAAATTAACCATGGGTTTACTACAAATAAAACCAAAAAAACATGGGTACTATAGTTAAACCATGGTCTTGCTACACTAACCATAGTTTAACCATGGTATTTGTAGTAAAACTGTGGTTATAGAAATGGCAATCAATACCCCAAAAAACATGGTTACTACACATTTACTATAATAAAACCATGGTTAATTTTCGTGGTGCCCTGTGTACATTATTTCACGTCAAGAACAACAAATGCTGTGCTTTCAAACCTACTGAGATGCCTGCCTTGACAACATGTTTGTGTGTGCAGAATTTTTAGACAGTAAAGCATTCCCAATCATCTCAATGGTTCTTGCTCAGCTGCTACAGGAACCCAGGTGTCTGACAAGCAGGCCCCTTGAGGAATCATGTTCCCTTCTTACCCCAACATCATTCTATAGAGTGCAACAGAGCCCACCCACTTTTTCAGTGGCCTTGGTTCCTGAAGTATTTTTCCCATTGGGACTTTTAAAAAGTCTTTTTAAGAGTTATGATCCATAAAGCAAAACATCCA